GGGGGCTGGCGGGCGAGGGGGCGCGGCGGTTGTGGGGGCTCGAGGAGACGGTGGTGGCCATTAAGTTGGCAGAGACGAGCGTCGAGGTGTGAGTGAGTATGCGATGAGGAGAAGAGTAGACATCTTTTGTCGGAAGAGAGACGCGCGAGTGGCGGCGTCAGGTTGACCGGAGTCCTGGCCGATATTCTGCCCCCGCCGTGTGATGGTGAATTGGAGCGCAGCGTCGACAAGTCCGATCACCCCTGACTGGTGCTGTGCCTGTCGCCCGCCGAAGACTAACAGCTAGCTTCAACTTTGACATCGTCCCACGCCATCAACCAACTAGTCTCATCCTCCATGACACACAGAAGCATACCACACCCAGCATTCGCATCCCGCACCCCGAACACACTCTCTCACACATCTCCAATGCATCGGAACGACTGACCCACCACGCTCAGGAGCAGCGGCGGGGGCGCCGGCCCAGAGGCGCAGCACTGATCGCTCCCCAGTCTTATCTGGTTGGTCGATCTCTTCCGAATCCTGCAATCATCCTGGCAGCCAAAGACGGCTCTCGACGCATGCATCGCACAATCGGCGACTGTCTTACTCACCGGCGACCTCTGCATGCATGTCGTCGACGTGTCTGGACCCACCTAGTCGTCGCTAGGGTGGCGGCCCCGGCGCAGCTGATCATCTTAGTCTCTGCCTATCTTGTGGGGTTTCCGGCTACTCGAGTGCCCTACTGGGCCGAACTAGCCTTGAAATGGCTATCGCTTGTTCCGATGCACATGGCCGCAGAGACCGACCGCGGTCAGTTACTGTCACTCTTGGACCTGGCCAGTCACTCGTGAGATCGTGATGGTCGTGACCGGTACATTGGGCTCACTGGGCGTCACGTCGACGGCGTGGGGCATGTGTCCGTCCGTCCGCTCGCAACGAACGAAGAGAATGATGCGAAGTTGAAGATGTTTCTCACATCCCGACTTGACCCGCAGACGGGACCCGCAGACGCGCAGACATGTACCGCGCACTTCTGCGAACAACAACGAGGACCACTGCCGCGGCCCGAGGCAGATCGTTCATGGGTGTGAGTAGCGCTGGAGGCGCAGCGAGCGTTCCGTTTTCGGACCGAGTGGCGAGTTGCTTCTCTGCAAAACTTGTCTTCGCAGCTCTACTGACTTAAGCTGACCCCAGGGACCCAGCAAGGAGAGAGTCGACGGCCTATCTCGCATCCTCGCCGACGTTGCAGATAGCAATGCATCACTTTGGCGCGAAAAGGCCGAGCTGAAGCGAGAACTGCACATGCTCGAGGAGCGATTCGCCGCTCTCGTGATCGCACACGAGGCAATGGCCCAGCGCGTCGAGGAGCTCAGCGCGAGAGAGAGGCAAGGGCCTTTGTTCCGGCGTTCGAGCGGTGCAGGACAGCACATCAGATGAAGTTAAAGATTGCATTATGATACATGAGGCATATAGTGATACGGAGTCGTTATGTCATGGAGTCTACGCCAGTCTAGCTACTCTCTCCTCCCTCTCGCCACAGCTCACGCTCATGCCCACTTGGCCAGCACGCTCATGCAGATCAGGCCCGCAATGACGGCGGAGAAGGCGGCAATGACCTTGCTCCACTTGGCGCGGCGCAGGGGTCCGTCGACAAAGTCGCCCGCGACGAGCTTGAACGTGGTGTAGAGCAGGATACCCGCCGAGATCGAGTTGAGAATGCCGACAGAGAGGAGCGACGCCTTGCCGTTCTGGGAGAAGGACTGGCGGATTCCGATGCCGATCGCAATGCCGATGGGCGTGATGAGGATGAACGCGAGGCCCATGAGGGCAATCTTGAGCTTGCTGACCCAAGTAAGGAGAGCCATGCGCGCGCCGAGGGCCGCGCCTTCGAAGAATTGGTGGAAGACAATGACGATGAGCAGCGTGACCCAGCCGGCACCAGAGCCCGCGCCGAGCGTGATTCCGATCATGATGGAGTGGAAGATGATGCCCGCCTCGAGCATGATGACCTGCCACCCCTGCTCCTCCTGGAAGAGGGCATCGGCATGTACACAAGCGTCGGCGACCATGGGCTGGGGAACGGTGTTCTTCTCAACGTCGGGCTCGGAGCTCGCATCGCTGCTGCCAAGGTTCGGGGACGTGTGGAGGTGCATGCCGCTCGAGCGCGATGCCTTGCGGTCGGCGGCGCGCGTACCGATAAAGTCGAGCACGGCCGTCACGACGGCAGCAGCCATGGCAATGGCGGGCGCGGTCGCCTCGTAGGACATTTCGCCAACGCACTCGTTTTGGAACATGACAAAGCCGTGGTAGAGCAGATGCACAAATGCAGTGGACAGGATGATGCCAGTGCCAAAGTGGCGCGCGAGGAAGAAGACGTTGGGCCAGAAGCCGAGCTGGCGGCCCCAGGACGCCGCGTCGAGAGGTTGGGAGCCGGAACGAGCCCATCCGGCAACGATTGGGATCAGAACTCCGAGAGCACTGCCGACGAGAATGATGAAGATGGCTCCAATGTGCAGACTCATGTTGTAGTCCTCGAGCAGAACGCGGCCGCACGCCAGTTGCGCGTCAGAGCAGTCGCCGTGCGTATGTCCGACTGCATGTTAGCAGTGGCCGATAACGTGGGATGCCGGACGATCTGACGAGATCGGCATTGGAGAAGTTACTCACCGTGAATGATACACTCCCCGCTGTCCTCGTACTGCGCGTCGTGCGCCGCCTCGGCGCTTCCCGGAGCAGCGGCCTTCTCGCAGTCCCAGTGCGTCTCGTGCCAGGTGCACTTGCCGCGTCCTGTCGGCGTAGCGTCGGGCGACGCGGCGGCGGTTGAAGTGGCAGGTCCGTCGCAATGCCAGTGGTCGCCGTGCTGGTGGCATCCCGTCGACTCGGTCGGCGAAGGAGCGGCAGCAACACCACCCTCGTGCTCGTGGTCGTGCTCCTCTTCGGCGTGGTCGTGACCCTCTTCGTGGGCGTGGCCCTCTTCGGCGTGAGCCTCTTCTTCGTGCTCATGATCGTGCTCGTCATGCACGGCAGGAGTGACCGTGGCGGCCGCAGTTCCCGTAGCTGTCGCGGGACCATCACAATGCCAGTGGTCTCCGTGGGCGTGGCATCCGATCGACTCGGTCGGAGACGGGGCAAGGGGCGCGGTAGATGTCTGCGCAGCGGTCGTCTGCGCCAGCGCAGGCGCGGCGAGCAGGAGGGCGGTCTGGAGTGCGGCCCACTTCATGGTGTCGGTCGCGTTTTGGTCAGAGGTGATGAAGAGATCAGACACCTTGGCATGCTGACTTTTATCAATGTATCGGCGCCCAGCGCGTGCACGTTTGCGGTCGCGGACTCGCCCAACCTGGAGGTCATGTCCGCGCCGGTGCAAGGTGTGCAGAAAGTGCAGGTTGCTGGAACTTGATCACGGATGCCAAGAGTGCCAAGAAATGAGGACTTGGTGTATCTCGGTGACATTGGGATGTTGTTACTGGTCGGCGAGCGCCAGATGAGCGCCAGTCGTGCGCCAGAGTCGCATCGGCGCCGCGCAGAATGAGGACTTGAAGGTGGTCAAGACATGGAGGACTGGGCAAAGACGCGAAATGAGGACCCGACCGGTGCCCTTGAACGGGTGCGTGCCTGGATAGTGACGTGCCTGATTTTGCTCCTCTCGAACTCATGTGGCTCCGCTGTGCTCTGCGCACGCCGTGCAGCCGTCAACGCCCCGTCCATGCCAGTTGTGCGTCGCCGAACATGCCGAGCGGAGCAGCGTCAGGCTCTCAACCCATCTGGAATGTAACCGATTGTGGACTATAGTGATCAGGGAATGAGGGGCAACTCCGACTCGCCGAGAGCGAAGACCTCTGTGATCAGCCACGGAAATCTCAGTTCTTCGACAACTCCTTCGTTAACATTGTCCGCGATATTCGGATCCGTAGTCCTCTCCGGAGTTACAAGCGCGCTAGTGCAGAGTGAATGGTCTGTGAGCACCCTGGATTCTCTTGTCTAATCGTCCATTCGCTCAGAGCAGTCATGCTCGCTGGTCAATTGCCATGTATCGGTCGTCGGTCGCAAGACTGGTCTCGCGAGTTCCGCTCCCCAGCATATCTGATCCTTGACATGCGCCTTTTCCCCGAGCACAGACCACAGATAGCTTGCCGCTGGCCGAAAGGAGGACCTCCCCCCTTGTGGCGGCGTAACCTCGGACACGAGCGAGCGGGCGGGTCACTCGTGACCGGACGATCCTCATTCGTGTGTGGGCGGCTCAACTGGCAGTTACTCGAAGACAATGATGAACATATCTCCAGCCAACCTGGCACAGACAGTCTGGCCACTTTCGAGGCGTCGCACAGCGAGGACTGCGAGGCTCTCAATGTCTTGGCATTGAGGTCATGAGCGCCACGGTCTCGTCCTGGTGGAGAGGTAATGTTGGTCGTGAGGCAGATAAAAAGCGGGAGCTAGTAGATATCTTATCATCAACCCAGCAGTCCCAACATGCTCACCTCGCTTCTTCTCACTCTCGGCGCTGCCGCCAGCGCCTCCGCCGGCCCCATCCTCATCCCCCGCGAGCTCAAGGAGTACTCGGCCGATGTCGAGCTCCACTCCTCGTGCAATGCCACTCAGCAGCGCATGCTGAAGCAGGCCCTCGGAGAGATGAACGAGGTCACCTCGTTTGCCATCGAGTACCTCGAACACAATGGCGCGCAGGACCAAGTCTTCACGACCTATTTTGGTACCGAGCCCGAAGCGTACCCGACCGTTATCGGCGCATACAAGGCTCTCCTCAGCGCGAACAAGAAGGGCGTCCTCATCCGCTGCGACGACCCCGACGGAAACTGCCACCAAGACGGTTGGCGCGGCCACTACCGCGGCGAGAACGCGACCACTGAGACCGTCATTTGCGACTCGTCATACACCGACCGCCTCTTCAACTCTGCCTTCTGCATGTTTGGCTTCCAGCTCGCCAAGGACAAGCCCAGCACGTACTGGTCTATTGACCTGATGTGAGTGCTCCCGAGGAAAGAAGCTGACCGCAGGCACCGCATGTATCACGTTCCGCAGGTCTCGAACGCCGCTGTGGGTCACATCACCGAGGGCCTCGCCGATGTAACGGACAAGGCCGCGCACAACTCGACTGGCCTCGACCTCGACTCGGATGCCCTGCAGTACTTTGCCGCCCACGTCTATGCCATCGAGGTTGCCGGCGGCGGCGAACAGTGCATTGGCGACATTGGCCACGACCACGACGAGGCTCACGGCGACGACAACAAGGATGCGCGGGGCGACAAGGACTGCCACACGCACGCCGATGGCACTGTGCACTGTGAGGGCGGTGACGCTGCTCAGCCGGATGCTCAGCCTTCCTCCGCGGCCACTCAGCCTACCTTGTCGGAGGCTCCTGCTCCCGCTCCCACCTCCGAGGCTGCCGCCGCTCCTGCCCAGGCCAGCGACAACTGTCACACCCATGACGACGGCACCGTTCATTGCGGGGACCACGACGAGCCCGCCGCGCCGGCTGCTGAGCCCTCCACCACCTCGGACAAGGACTGCCATACCCACGCCGACGGCACGGTCCACTGTGTCTAAAAGTAATAGCCTCCATAAGTTTATAATCGCGATGAGTGATGCACGAAGCCCTTTAGGACCTTCACTGGCTGATGTTAGCAAGAGTACTCATTGTGAGCTTTGCATTGGGTGCATTTCGGTTCATCTTCCGATGAAGCGGTTCCAGTTACGCTCCAGTGTCTGCACGGTCCATGTCTCGTCGTCGCGGAGCTCGCGCACGTGTCCTTTCTCGTCGAAAACCTCCCCGTCATCGTCATCGCCGCCCACATTCTCAGTCTCAAGCTTCCACCCCTTGCACGTCGATATCCACACGGTAGCAGCCCAGATGAGTCGAGTGATATCCCCGATGGAGCTTGTGTCGCTCTCCACTAGCATGCGATCCCGGGGCACAGCGCGGACAACGTCGTCCCCTAGCCGGGCCGTGATCAACACGCTCGGCGAAAAGTAGACATTCGGCATGGTGCGCGCAAGCTGCGTGATGAAATCGGGGCTCATGCCGCCGCACGAGTGAATGCACGCGTTGCCCCGATGACCCTTCAGGAGGTCCATTGTCGCGCCGCTCGCATTCACACAGTGCAGGCTGGCGGGCACGCCCAGCTCTTCGGCGAGCTCGAGCTGGAGTTTGCAGATGGCCGTCTGGTGCGTCATGGCCGTCTTGAAGGGCGTCATTTGCGCTGGCTCGTCAGAGCCCCGTGGCGGCCAGATCCGCGCGCGCGCGGTCGCATCGAGCCCGATCTCGCCCACCATTCCTCCGCACTCCTTGATGTTCTCCCGCATCTGCGCCAGCAGAGGTTCGAACGATTCCGGATCCGGCAGCTGCGGCAGCAGCGCCTCGAGCTCCGCGACCTGCTTTGCCTTCTTGGGCGCGAATACCGCGAGGTAGTGATCCCGCTTTGAAGGCTGCTCACCCAGGTAGTACCGGTGTACGAACCAGGGATGATACCCAAAGCACGGCTGAATATCTTTCCGATCAGCGACAGCCTTCACGCTGTCCTGGTCGATGTACGTTGACATTGCGGCCAAACGGCCCAGTGGCACAGCATCGTAGTCTGCGGCAGACGGCGACTTGTCCGTCGGGTGGGCATGCGCGTCCGTAACTGCCGTCAGCGGAGCAAAGCAAGCATCTTACGGTGTTTCAAGACCTCATTTGGGGGTAGCTCGATCGTCTTCCAGTCCGGAATGCTGGCGAGTTTTGACTCGGGCTTCTTGGCTCCGTTCTCCGCTCCTGTCGGCTTAGTCTGCTCGATCGAAGGACACATTTTGGACAGAACTGAGATGCAGACGCCATGATGTCAGAAGAGTCGTTGGTGGAGGTGCATGTGGAGGTTGAGGACTGTCACGTGATGAGCCGGATGACGCTTGCGATAAGCAGAGTGTGTGGTGGGCAAGGTTTCGCTTTCACTTTTCCGTCGCACATGCTCGACTATGCTGCCTCGTTCGTGAGCGCAGGGGAAAGTAGTCGGTACACTTCCGCCCACCTGCGTTGGCGATTTACCGCAAGCTCACGCACTCACAACAGGCAAACCGGCGGTGAGGCACATGACGCGGCACAAGCACAATCGGTCAGTTCACACGGTAGATCCGCACGAACCCGCACCTCCGCACCTGAAGCCGCTCCATCATTCCACGAGCAAGCGAACGACCTCTTACAAAACTCTGCAACGATACGTTCGGATTCCATGTCCGGAATCCAGCTCTCGACACAAGCCTGGGCCCCGTGGAGAAACGGGAGAAGTAACATGGAGACCCCAGATGCTGCCTGTCGATCTCGTCTCCATACTCCGCACACCCAAAGTCTGCCAAGCCTGATGATTGCCGACTGATCTCGAAGTACTCATGGCAACCATCCCGCAGGCCACAAAGCGGCAAAGGGTGATCGAGGGTTAGTCTCGAAAGGGTCACACGAGAGCCCTTCTCTCCTATAAAGCAGCACAGAAGCGAGGAATCCCCTCACGAACGGCGAACATGACTTCCACACTCTCGGACAGCAAACACGACGTCGACAGCGAGAAGGGTGAGGTTTCCCACAGTAGGGAACTCTGTGAAGACCACCATGGCTCCCAGACAGACAACATTGACGCCGGCTTCGAGCCGGCGTTTGTACACCGCACAATGCGCAAGGTGGACATGCGCCTCGTGCCCATTCTCGCCGCGCTATACGCCATCTCTTTGATCGACCGTACCAACCTTGGACTGGCGCGTGCAGCCAACGGCTTTCAGATGGACCGCGACATTGGAACTGGTGAGGGCATGCACTACTCGATTGCGACAATGCTGTTCTTTGTTCCTTACATCATTTTCGAAGTCCCAGTGCGTGATCCTTCTGCTGGGTGCGTGCTGACGACAGTCGCAACTTGGTTTGCGCAAGTTTGGTCCCAGGATTTGGCTCGGTATCGCAACCGTGCTGTGGGGCATCACGACCATTGGAATGGGGTGGGTACCCTCGTGGCAGGGCTTGGCCGGTCTTCGCGCCGTTCTCGGCCTGTTCGAGGCAACACTGTTCCCCGGTGCGACCTACCTCATCGCGACATGGTACCCGCGGCGGCAGATGGCATCGCGCAACGCACTATTCTTCCTCACGGCCGCAACCACGTCTCAGCTCTTCAGCCCTATCGCCTATTGCTTTACACTGATGAACGGCCTGCAGGGGCACAGTGGCTGGCGCTGGGCGTTTACCCTGTACGGCGTCATCACCGTCGTGATCGGTATCGTCGCAATCGTTGTTCTAGTCGACTTCCCCGACAAGGCCAAGTTCCTCTCAGCGGAGCAGCGCGAGCTCGTCAAGGTGCGCATTGAGCGGGACCGCAAGGATAGCGAGCCCGATCCCCTCACTTGGCGCAAGGTCGGGAGATACGCGTGCGACCTCAAGCTATGGATATTTGCCTACCTCTTTGGCGTGAGCTCGCTCTGCGGCTACTCACTCGGGTATTTCCTACCATTGCTGCTGTCCGCAATGGGCTTCAAGAAGAGCATCGAGCAGATGCTCCTCGGCGTCCCAGCGTACTTTTACGCCATGATCCCGTCATGGATCACGGCGCAGATTTCCGATCGCAAACCGCACATGCGCGCGTGGATGTTCGTCTTCAACTCGTGCTCCACGTTGATCGGCACGCTCATGTACTCCCAGATCAAGGAGAACAAGGCGGCCCGCTACGTTGGCGTCTACTTCGCGGTGGGCGGGTGCCAGAGCAATGTTCCTCTCGTTACGAGCTGGTGCCAGTGCAGCATTCGCGCACAGTCCAAGCGCGCTTTCGCGTCCGCTCTCGTCATTGCCTGGGGTGGGGTCGGCGGCATTCTTGCCAGCGTGACATTCCAGCAAAGGGAGGCGAAGCAGGGCTATCCTACCGGCGTGTGGTTCACTGTGGCCATGAACATTGTGGCGATCGTCGCCACCATTGCGCTTAAGTTCTGGATGAGGTGGAGGAACCTCAAGGCGGACACGGAGGGGGTTGTTCTTGAGGACGACCCTGGCTTCCGGTACCAGGATTAGGCGGCTGTGCCGGGTGCCGGCTCGAATGCAAAATGGACGATGCATGTCATTGAGGTTATAAGGCGGGCTACAGAATACAGGCTCCGACACAAGGCTGGGCCATTGAGATACAACTAGGTTTTGCAAGCTCGCAAGATGAAGCTCAGGCGGTTCCATTAGCCGTTGAGAGCCTCAATCCATCCAGCGAGGCCGTAGAGATCATCCGCCTCTGCACCGCTCGCCCGAGCAGCCGAAGCCTTGACCGACTCTGCAAGCCGTGAACGGAATTCGGGACAGCTTTGGCCAGAGGTGTTGTCGGAGTTGATTTGATATGCAGAGAGCTTGTTGATGAGATCGTTGTCTTCGATGCAGGCAGGGCCGGTGATCGGCCTGGCTGCCGCGAGGGACGCGAGAATGGAGATTGCGGCGAGTTTCATGGTGCGATTTGGTATTTCAGGGGACAGATGCTGCGTGGGCGTGGAAGTTAGGGAGCGGTTGTAGCGCGCTATATACCTGGGGCTCAATGCCGCTGACGAACTGCCTGCGGAACGCACAGATTTCCTGGATCAGTCTGAGATTGTCGGTGCACTACGTGCGCGAGATACCCAGTCAAGGTCCGGCACAGGATTGCAAGATTGCGGCGAAGATTCTTTTACAAGTCGCCAAGCGTCCTAGAACATATGCGATGCACAGGCAGTGAAATATGAAACGAGAGCCACTCCTGCAGAGCACCGCTGTGCGGAGGGTAGGCGGTGCATATCTGCAACCGTCAGTGCGATGGAATGGGTTGGGTGGGGGGGTAAATGTGTCTTCTGCTGTGATCTACCGATCGTGTCTAGGAATTGCGGAGGCGACACGGCGATGACGCTCTAGGGGTTCGTGAGGACAACCCCCCGCAATAGACGGAGTCACGGGATCATGAGAGACACCGCAGAGAAGCTTCTTTCTCAGCCGTGAAGACACTTAGAAGCATCCACGAACGACCGCAACGGAGGCGTTGAAACATGAAACAGGTGTGCCTGACTGTTACCTGAAGGCGGAAGCCATCGACGATGGGGCACCGCTCTGGTGTATGAAGGGCCATGACTCACAGCAGCGGCGTGTGAGCAGCTGCTCGTCGTCTCGTCTTGCGCTGATACCCACCGATACAGAGATGTCTGCTCGTTAACACTGCAATGCGACACCGCCTCTCTCTGGTGCCCCTCCGGGTGTGGGTTCCGCAACTTGTGGACAGGGTATGCTTAGGGTAGACGACACTTCTAATGCGCTATGCAGTCGGATTGCGGATAGAGCACGTTACTAGGGGTCTTCAACGGTACCCGTCAGACATCTGTCGGAGTTCAAGCTGCAGAGGTGCTGAAGTCATGGAGACAATGCAGGCGCTGGGCATCGAACTCCCTCAACACAGGTATAAATCGTAACGTCGCTCCGTGCGTATCTCATCGACTGTCGCGCTCGTCCAAGACATACCATCTCAGTTTTGAAGACATAGGTTTCCCGACACAAATTCAACATGAAGCTCACGAGCTGCATCGCTTTAATCTTCCTCGAAGCCTCCGCATCGGCAGAGTCCTGCATCATGGGCGAGCTCTGCGACCGCGTCATCAAGGAAGGTTTGTCGTGTGATTCTGCGGGCATTTGCGAGGCCCACGTACAAGAGATTTACCAACAACTCCGCGAAGGAGCGGCCATCCTCACAGACGGGACCGACAATGGGGATGGTGAGGTTACGAGCCAGGACCAGGCTGTCGCAAACCGCAAGATTCGCTTGGCTGAGGGCATTCAGCACTGGGGGCCTTCCGCGGGGTTGCATGAGAGGGAAGTGCGTGCCACGGGCCAGCCCGTTAGGTAGTTTCAAAGTCTCGAAGGTCTGTACAGCGAATGGATGCACGTGTTACAACCAAGCAGGATATCTGACTCCCAAACTGTGACGGTTGTCCAAGTCTACTGACATCTGTATCAGAACAGAGGTCAATTCTCATCTGCAAAGTACGAGGTCTGCCCCGCACTCGGGAGCTCAGTACCAGCCTCCGTTCTCCTCCTATGCCAATCAGCATTCCCGCCCATTGTTACTCGGATCAACAAGCGCAGGACGACTGAGGCATCTCAAGTGCTTTATAACGTGAGTAACAGGTGAAAGACCCACCGATCCTGCCCCCGGGCAGACGGTCAACGAGTCCCGGCATCACCGGCGCCGCAGGTATAGACACAAGGCTCCACAGCTCTTCTTGATGGCACCTGCATTTGATCTCCTCTCCCACGCTCTTCAAAGTCTGTGAGACTGCGAGAACAGACGTCACTCATGGGCCGGGCGGCAGCAATGATGCGGACGGCTAAGGCGTCGCGCAGGCCGATGTCTCACTAATTGCTTGCTGTGCTGCTAACGAGGTACAAGTAGGGTTTCTCATCTTCGTGCAGTACACAATCACACTCTAGGGTCGATACCCAAGCTTCGAGAGTCAGGGCTCGTTGTAGAAGTGCCACTTGAAGCGGTACCTACCGTCCTAGGCGCTGCGTTAGTGTTTGACTCGAAACAGTGAGCACTGCTCTAACGTCGCAAGAGCCCCAAGTTTTCGTCCTGTTGCGGTACACATATGGTCCCACCCTTTCATGAGCGGCCCTCAGTCGCCGGTTGTCATCTGTGCAATCCTATCACACGAGGATCTGCGGCAGTGCTCCAGGCTTCAAGGCGATCCTCAGCATTACGGTCTAGAGTCTAAGATGCGACATTCGCTCGCCGACATGGGCGCTCCATGGACAGTCACGAGAGCTTTATGCGCTCTTGCAATCTCAGCTCATCACTCGGGAGCTATAAACCAAGTTTTCAGTGGTCCTTTCGTATATCCTTCCACAACACCTCGCTACATCTCCTACAATCATGAAGCTAGCATACACCGTGGCCATCGCCGCCCTCGCCGCCACGGCCGCCGCTGAGAGCTGCTTCCCGGAGGGCATGTGCCCCGGCATCGAGCATCATAGCTTCAGCTGCGAGCTTCCCAACGACTTTGACAACTGCGACGACTACAGGATTCACGTCCAGCTTGAGCTCGACAAAACGGCAACCGATCAAAACGACAACGGAGACATGATCAGAATCATCGCCAATTGGGTTGCCGAGCAGAGCCAAAGTTAGGGGTGACGCGCCAGTGATTGGTAGTTGTCTCAAATCGTACTCTCTTGCCAGAGTATCAATAGTCGCCGCTGACACGGCGCTCTGTAGCGATAGAGCAGAAGTGCTCGATGTATTCTGCGTACAGTACACCGCATCCGTCGTCCAGATGTTACCTCAACCGAGCGGCACATCCGTGAGCGGTCAGCTCTGCAGCACAGCTGTAAACATGGCTGAGTTGGGAGAGAAGTAGAAGCAGTGTCAAAAGTCCCATGTGCAACAGAGATGCTGAAACGCTTTACCCGACGTTGGCTGAGGTGTCTTCAGGATCTACGACTGTTGCCATACTTCTTCCTATAAGATGGTTCCGCCGACGGCGTTGTTTCATGCATCGTACTCTATCTTATCCAATAGGGAGCACAGCCTTGAGTTTCACTAGAAGCGGCGTTGCCGTACAGTGTGTCTTGGAGCGCAAAATCCCATCGTGCACCGCCCCAAGAAAGTGTAGGCGAGCACTCATGGCAATGCTCTTGCAGCTCAGCCATAGAATGATACCCAGTCGTAGCGGGTGGCGGTGTATCTGGAGCCAATCATGACGGCTCAACTTGTCGTTGGCTGATGGACAGCCTGCACCCCTTAGCTTCCGAGGGGCGATCGCTGTCATTCCCTGTCGGCGGCGCTGGCTCTCTCAGAGTGAGCACTGCGCGCCGTTGAGTCAATGTGTCGTGACTACGCAAGCGTCTTTCTTCTCTGGTACTTCGTTTTGCGGCCCTATAAAGACCGTTCTGAAACTGAAGCGTTGCATGCCAGAACGTCCTTCGTGCAAACCCCTCGGGACCACAGCCATGAGGCTCGCCAAAACCATCGCCATCCTCGCACTCGCCTCGTCTTCGATGGCCGCCAGCTGCTTTTCAGAACAATTGTGCTCTCAATTGCAAGCAGAGGAACTAGAGTGTGGGCCTCCCGACGGAAACTGCGAAGCATATCCATCACAAATCGTAAGCCAGCTCAAGGAGAAGGCCGATGCCGCAGAGGCTTCAGGATCGACCGAGGATCTTTTCGCAGCCGCTCGAATGGACACATTACGCAAGACGATCGAGTGTTGGTTCAACCTAGGCAGTAGCAATTGGAAGTGCCCCGTAGAAGAGCATATGTAGAGTAATTGTGAATTGGCGCACTACTGATTGGCAAGTCGTGGGTGATGAAGCCAGACACGCTAGACACCTCTTGACTTGCTGGAATTGAAGGCGTGTCAGGTATGCTCCTTCTCCCCGTGGCACGATGCATAGAGCACCTCTTGTTGCGAGTGAATCTCATAGCCTTGAACCTTTCTTCCCCTGCTTCATTGCTCGCTTCCGCTCCACTAACCAACATTTGACGCAAGGGGGGCCCGTAACCTGGGCGGCCGAGGAGGGAAGCACGACGCGAAATCGAAAGGCATCCGGGAGTCTAGTTTCGGTGTTGAAGTGCGGGGTGCGAATGCAAGTCGCTCAACTGGACGCACCGGCTGGGCCGTTGAGCTTCTTGCCCATGCGGTAGCACCATTGAACTTCCCTCTAGGCCTAAAACATGCACTCTATCTGTCAGGCAGAAAACAAGCCGGCAAGCTCGAGGGTATCGAATCCCTTTTACCTCGCCTCAACATCTATCACGACTTCTTCAGCTATCGTTCGGCTACTATCCGAGAAGCACCGACGACCGTCCGCCATCGCCTCACTCGGCAACTGGGTTTGACCTGGGACCGTCATGTCTCCTCTTGCTCCCAGTGGTTTCCTACCTCTGCTCGTAGTCACTTTCGCAACTTGGCTTACTAACCGAAGCAGCAGGAACATGGCTTCGTTTCGAACCAAGTGGTCAGCGGGTACTGGGTGGTGCTGCAAACCTTTGTAAGATTGCGGGACCACCGCCACCTAGCCGTTCCTTGGCATCTCGTCGTGAACGCGTATGCAACGCAGCGTTAAAGGTTTGTTCGGGAGATGTTCACGATAATGTCCAAGACGCCAAGCTCGGTCTCGGCGACGATGACCGCGTGACGACGGGCGATGTAACACTTGTTGCTTCCGCGAGGTCCGAGCCACAGGCGACCGTGAGCTTGCTGTTGTCATGGCATGGGGTTACCTGTCCAGAGAGAGATGGAGGGCTGGAGAACCAGAGTGGAGCACAGTGCCACAACCAGACCCACCCCGCGTATTTTGGCTTTAGTCGCCGATCGCGACGTCGCAACATTGTGGCACGCTCCAGACTCATCCCTCTTTGAAACGTCGGTGATGCAATGAGCACTGCCATGCGCAGCTGGTGCTGTCATGTGCTGCTGCATTATGACGGAGGAAGGGCTGCATCATGACGGGGGAAGGACTGCACGCGACGGTCCGGAGTGCCGACGACACCTCCCGGAGTTCCGTTGTTACCAGGCACCTTCGGCGTCATGTGAGGATGGGCATGTCGCCATGCCCGCCCGTTGCCACATGAGACGCCACATGAGACGCGTGAGACGCGTGAGACGTCGCGGGTAGGTGCCGACACCGCCTTCAACGTCATGGGAGAGTCCTGGGTGGAGCGATGGAGTGGCTGCCTCTCATGCGTGGGTAGTGGCGAACTGGGTGTGGCGAAATGTCGAGAACCATGCGCGCTTGGTGGTTTCGCGCTGAAGCACCTCGTTGCTGCTAAGACAAACTTTCCAGCTGGTGGCGAGATCGTCCTGGAAAGGTATAAAGGACGGTCAGAAAGAGGTCTTTTGAGAGTCCAACGCACCGACACTCGACTGCATCTCCCCCCCGGAACCTCCAAACGCCTTACCGTCCTATAACTCCACGACAACCAACCAACATGAAGTTCTCCACCACCGCCCTCATCGCCGCCTTTGCCGCCACCGCCGCAGCTGAGACCTGCTTCCCCTCCTGGATCTGCGACAGTATCGGCGCCGAGGGCTTCTCCTGCGACAGCGACGACTGTCGCTCGTTCCGCGCCTCGGTCCGTGACCAGCTGTACGCTGGCGCCGGCATCATGTTCAGCAACGGCGACGACGCGAGCCGCGCCGTCGCGGAGCGCAAGCTCGCCGCTGCGAACGCGGTCAACAACTACATCAACGGCAACTAAGTAGATTAGTCCTAGCAGCGCCTAGGTCTGTAGCCTGTGGACGTCTCGGGACTCTTCAACAGGGTGACCTGGGGTGCCACGCTCGTCCTGGTTCTGTATCTGGTCTCTATGAACACGTGCTGTTGCTTGTCTCATTTGCTTTCCAGAGCGCCGCGACAGCAGCCATGCGCCGCTGTCCCATTTGGCTTAGCAACTGACTTAACCATACGCAATGCGCCAAGCCGTAACCTCGTTGCGTATCCACATGGTACGTATGCGGGAGGCAGGATCTTGGGTTCTTGATCACCGGTCCCACGACTTCACTACTACATTCCAGCGATGATTGCAGCATGCACTGCGCTATCCTGGCATTTCCATTTTCAGATTTTGGAATAGTTCGCAGAATCGTCTGCGCCGATGATTCTTCTGGTGGAGGAGGCAGTACTCAGCACATGATGCGGCCATCTCGCCGTCCCCGCGTCCCGACTTGACAACCGCGCATGTTGCGCTGGCCTCAACAGCATATCGGAATCAGAGTCTGAAGGGATGGTCGTGGGCCGTGTCCACTGAGCCCTGGAACGATCATGGAATGCGGTGCTCGGTGGCTCCGACGTTGGGTAGCAGAGCGCGGCGCGGAGGCAAACGCACGGCGGACGAGCAGCTGGGTCAAGCCCGCCTCCCCGTCTCATCATCGGCGCCGCTGGAACCCCCCACCACCCAACTCCATCGCCGCGTAGTCTGAAGCAAAGCCACATGGGGTGCTTCGGCGGCTCCGCCTAAACTCTGGCTCTGACAGTATGCAGCAGCAGATGATTCCGTCAGATCCAGCTCCCCGCGATGACAACGGTCTCTGGGCCCTCCGTCTGAACTCGGCCTAGTTCGAACACTCTGCTCCGGCCTCCGGGACGCATCGTTGGGAAGCTGGGAGTGCTGCGAGAGTCGCTTCGATGCCAAGTCGACTGTAGTCCGCGATTTTCTCCATCCCGGCTGGAAGACCATTTAGGCGTCGGAAACGTATGGTAGTGGCAACGTCAGTATGATACGTACAGCAGAGGTGAGCCACATGGCCACATGGAGCCACCTGATGGTTGCGGAGCGCCATGTCATTTCGCGTCGCGTCGCTCATGTCATGACGCGTGCACAGGCGTACGTAGGTTCCGTCCCTTACTTGGCAAGATGCTTCTGCAGATCAGTGAAGGTATGGGCGTGGAGCGACATGACCGAGGTGATCCCGGAATCTTGGGACATCGGTGATTAACAGAGGCAATGCGGCGCAGAGATAAGCGAGGAACGGTTCTGCGGTTCGGCGGTTCTGCGGTTCTGCCGGACGCCTTCCGAACAGCCGTGCACAGCTTGGGGCATACTGCGATGTGGCGTGCTGCCATGATGCCGACTGCGGTGAGACGACTGAGAGCGGGGAGACAGGGGATGCTGGATCAAGGCTGGATCAAGGCTGGCTGGACGATGGAAGGGATGAATGGGATGGCGGATGGCCGAAAATAGCAAGCGGCAGAAAGGATGCATTGCGAGGGACCCGATTCGCTGCGGACGGATGGCTTGTCGATCGAAGTTCATGTTTGTCGCGTCGTGGCGCGGCGCCAGAGGGCCCACTGGTGGAGGTGACGTCAATTGCCCTCACGTGACTGCGCTGCGGACTGGACCAAACACAGCAGAGGCCGCAGGCCGGCGGCCGCCAGTTCCGTAGCGCGCGTCCGCTGCTCGGCGCCCAAGAGCGGTCCAAGGCATCCCAGGGGCGCACCCGGCCTAGGACCAGGGTGGAAGGAAGGACCCAGGCACGCAGAGCCTTGGCATGGCTCACTACTCACTCCGGAAAACAAAGTTGCCTGCACTCACACACACCGCCGCCGCCGCCATCTCTCATTCTCTCCAACGCACAATCAACATCTTGCATCCATCCACCATCCATTAACTCCTGCCATCCACCATGTGAGCAACATCTTCGTACCGCTCTGACCACAGGGATACCACCGGCTGGAGAGAGAAGCGCCGCGAGGAGCGCTTCAACCGTCAGGCCGCGCAGGATGCGCACTCGTCCTACTACAAGCACCCCGCCCTCCATGCCAGCACCTACATGCCCTACCAGCGCGAGGCCGACCCCGACGCCAACCAGCAGGCTCAGCCCTATGACCCCTGTCACCCCAGCCAGCAGGGCCAGCAGCCGCAGCCCCCGACGCGCCGCAGCAGCCAGAGCTCGCAGAGCTTGCTCGAACGGTACTCGTCTCACGGGTCGCAAGAGGGCAAGGAGGAAAAGTCGCCTTACTCGGGGCCTGGTCCTAGCGTGGCCGACATCGAGGGTGCCGGACAGGCCGGAGGCGCTGGTGTCATGCAGCCGCACATCCAGTTCATGTGAGTCAGGTAGTCGCGGGCGCGAGGCGTGGGTGTACAGCCTCACGCGTCCGTGCACGCCATGCACAGTGTGCACACACTGACACGCAGGTGCGGCCCCCTCCTCAACTACTACTCGGTCGTGAACGGCGTCTGGCACGGCGCTGCTCTCGTCGTCACCGCGGACAAGGGCTCGATCCTCAACCCCCCACCATACCTCACCATTTCGCTCGGCGGCGCCTCGGAGAAGATTGGCGGGCAGTGCATCCTGACGTATAATGATGTGACGCAAGGGCCCTGCTCGTTCTGGCGCTTCATGATCCAGATCCCGCTGCAGGACCACGAGGCCAAGGTCTACTACTCGATCAATGGCGGCGGCGAGCTGTCCTTCTTCGTCCCTGCCCGTGGCCAAAACATGCGCTGGGTCGCGCATTCGTGCAATGGCTTCTCGGGCGGCGTCAATCAGGAGGAGTTCAAGGGCAAGTATGACACCGGCTTCTCGCCCCTCTGGGAGGATGTTCTCGTCAAGCACTCAGAGCAGCCGTATCACTGCATGGTCGGCGGCGGTGACCAGCTCTACTGCGACGCGATTACGAAGGAGAAGGAGTTGCAGTCGTGGATCAACGCCAAGAGCCGCAAGGACAAGGTTAACCACGCCCTCACGGACGACATGAAGATTGCCATCGACCGCTTCTATTTCAACCACTACTGCAAGTCGTTCCGCAGCAGCGCGTTTGCGAAGGCCAACTCGACGATCCCCATGGTCAACATGCTTGACGATCACGACCTGATCGACGGCTTCGGCACGTATGACGACGAGACGATGGCCAGCCCCGTCTTCTCCTACATTGGCACACGCGGCTACTTTTGGTTCCTCGCGTTCCAGCTGTTCACGGTCGACGCGATCGACGGACAGGGCGACGGCCCCGCCAACCACCCGATCCCGTCCATGCTCATTGGCGAGGTTGGCCCGTGGCTCCAGGGCAAGCGCTCGCACTCGCTCATCACGTACCTCGGCCCCAAGGTGGCAATGCTGCTCCTCGACTGCCGCGCGGAGCGCCGCCTCACGCAGATTGTGTCGCCCAAGACGTACCAAAAGGCGTTTAACGCCATTGCCCAGCTCCCGCAGAGCGTTGAGCAGGTTGTCATCCAGCTCGGCGTGCCGATTGCGTACCCGCGCATGTCCTTCCTCGAGCATTTCCTCGAGTACAAGTGGAATCCGATTACCATGCTCGCGCGCCGCAACGCGCTTGGCCTCGGTAGCTTTGTCAACAAGTTTGACCAGAGCGCCGAGCTGCTCGACGACCTGAACGACCACTGGTGTGCCAACACGCACAAGAAGGAGCGCAACTGGCTCGTGCTGGAAATGCAGCGTATCGCGCGCACGCAAAACGTCCGCATCACCTTCCTCTCTGGCGACGTGCATCTCGCGGCTGTCGGCAAGCTCTTCACGCACAAGCGCAAGCTCCGCACCCCCGTCACGCCCGAGCAGGACCACCGCTACATGCTCAATGTCATCTCTTCGGCCATTGTCAACACGCCGCCGCCGGCGGGCGCCGCCAAGATGGTCTCTATTCTGGCCGGCCACAAGCACCGCACGCTGCACCGCAAGAAGACGGACGAGACGATGCTGCCCATCTTCAACAAGGACACGGACGGCTCGACGCTGAAGCGCCCCTTCATCCTTGCGCGCCGCAATTACGCGAGCATCGACTATCTCGACAATGGCGCCTTGCGCTTTGACATTCGCGTTGAGCGCGAGCAGGGCGCGGGCGAGACGGTTAGCTACCCCTGCGAGTCGCCCCCGCCGCGCTACCTCGCAAACAAGAGCGTCACCTCCACGAGCACGAGCCCCGTCACGCCGACGACTGGTCGGTTCGCTAACAATGACGACATTAGCGTCGTGTCCGGTGCGCCCCAGAGCTTTGCGCCCTCCACAAATGGCGGCAGCGCGACCAACCTCGCGGGTCTCGCGCAGGCGCAGCGCCGCGAGCAGGAGAAGTACAGCAGCGCGCATGCTCATGCGCAAAAGGTTGACGAGGCCTTTGGCCGCGGTGCCGAGCCCAAGCCTGTCAATCCACACAACCCTGCCGAGCAGGCCTACGAGCACGCTCAGCCCGGCCAGTCGAACCAGCAGTTTGCCCAGCAGCAGCAGGGACAGTATCGGCAGCCTGCCCAGCAGCAGCAATACCAGCAGCCCGGACAATACGAGCAGCAGCAGTACGCGCAGCAGTCTGGCGTTCCTGCCGGACAGCCGCAGCAATACCAGCAGTCGTCGTATCAGTCTGCTGGAGCATACGGACAAGACTCGTACGCGCAACAGGGCACTCACGCGCAGGGCTACTCCCAGAACCAGAGCTACGCGCAGCCGGCGCAGTACGCTCAGCCCGGCGCGCAGATGCAAAACGTGGGCGCCCTCAACCACGCTGCTCAGGGCAAGTACTAAGTAACAATGTTGAGATACCCGGACACGACATACCCCTTTTTCACCGGTCTGCAATCACCATAGGACCCATTTAATCAAGAGCAATCATAGTTTATAGTCTTTACTCCTGCGCGATCCTGCGCTGCCATTATGCAAGAATGCACGAAAGCTCCCGTATCAGGAACGAGAGCGTCTGCGCGATGCGGCGTGTAGAGCGAGTGGGTGCATGAATGGTGCGGCGGAGTCTGCGCGTAGCCTCGTGGGATCCGGACACTCCGGTGCCTGAAGGCGTACTGTCTCGCGTGATGTTGCGAGCCTACCAGCGTCATCGGATGAGGCCGGCTGGTGACGGCGACGCCCCGCAAGCGCCGAGTACACCGCGTGTTGACACGACGCCTTTCCTCATCCATCCTCGAGTCTACATTCTCGAGACTAGCTCAGGAGCATTCTTATGCCCCGGCTCATCACTCCTCGCCCACGACACCTCATCCCCATCGCCTGCATTCCTCTTATACCCGTCTTCGCACCCCGTCTCTACCGTTTCTCTTCTTCCCTCATCTTCCCCAACATGGCCAACGCTACCTGTGAGTCACCCTCCTTCTCCATCACTGACCCCAGACCCCAAGCCGCCCATCAGCCCGCCCAACTGGCAGTACACCCCGGAGCAGATCACCGAGGCCATCGACAAGGTCTGCGCTAGCGACAAGGCGCAGGCTGACGAGCTCGTCGCTCTCCCGGAGGACAAGCGTACGTTCGAGAACGGCGTGCGCCCGCAGATCTTCTCTGGCGGCCACGACAGCTGGATCGACTCGCCTGCCCTCTTCCTCCAGCACGTGCACCCCGACGATGCCATCCGCAACAGCTCTATCGAGGCGGAGAAGAAGATGACCGAGTTTGGCCTGAAGGAGAGCGCACGTGAGGACGTCTACAAGGCGCTCAAGGACGTCGAGGCCAATGTCGAGAAGAATGGCGAGAAGCTCAACTCCGAGGAGAAGCGTTTCCTCGAGCGCATCCTCCGTGACCGCCGCCGCCTCGGTCTCGCCCTCGAGCCCGAGAAGCGCGAGAAGCTCCTCGAGCTCAACACCAAGCTCTCCAATCTCCAGGTCGACTTCCGCCGTGCCCTCAACGAGGAGAAGGGCTCGTTGCTCTTCACCCGCGAGGAGCTAGACGGCGTCCCCGAGGCTTCGATCGACGGCTACGAGAAGGAGGGCGACAAGTACAAGGTCACCTTCAAGACGCCGGACATTGTCCCCATCTTGTGAGCTAGACTCAAGTTGCACAGCTGACTCTCCAGCCAGTACGCCAATGTTCCCGAGACCCGTCGCAAGGCGTACATGGGCTACGAGGGCCGCACCATCTCGAACGTCCCCGTTCTCGATGAGATCCTCAAGATCCGTCGCCAGATCGCCGACCTCATGGGTTTTGAGACGTACGCCGACTTCATCCTCGACGTCAAGATGGCCAAGAACTCGAAGACGGCACTCGACTTCCTGTACGACCTCAAGGACAAGCTGACGCCGATTGGTGAGGCGGAGAAGAAGGTCTTCCTTCAGATGAAGAAGGAGGAGCACGCCAAGCGTGGCCTCGACTTTGACAACGAGCTTTACCTCTGGGACTACCGCTACTACGACCGCCTGTGGACGGAGCAGAAGCTCGGCCTCGACGACGAGAAGGTCAAGGAGTACTTCCCGGTCAACAAGGTTGTTCCCACGATTCTCGACATCTACCGCAAGCTGCTCAGTGTCAACTTCTACCCGATCCCCAAGGACTCGCCCGAGGGCAAGTTCTGGCACGACGACGTGCAGGGTTACGCTGTCTGGGATCACCAGGACGGCAAAGACGGCGACTTCCTCGGCTTCATGTATCTCGACCTCTTCCCTCGCGAGAACAAGTATGGCCACGCCGCCGTCTGGGGTCTGATCCCCGGATTCACCAAGGAGGACGGCGAGCGCTCGTACCCTGTCGTGTGCATGGTCGCGAACCTGGCCAAGCCGACGCCGAACCGCCCCGCGCTCATGAAGCACAGCGACGTCGTCACGTTTTTCCACGAGATGGGCCACGCGTTCCACGGGCTGTGCTCCAAGACGCAGATCCCCCGCTTCCATGGTACCTCGGTCGCGCGCGACTTTGTCGAGGCGCCCTCGCAGATGCTCGAAAACTGGTGCTTCATCCCCGAGCAGCTCAAGGAGATGTCGGAGCACTACGAGACGGGTGAGCATCTCCCGGACGACTTGATCGAGGGTATTGTGAAGAGCAAGAACGCCAACCTCGGCCTGTTCAACCTGCGCCAGCTCTTCCTCGGCATCTTCGACATGACAATGCACACTTCCAAGGAGGACCTCGACCTGAGCAAGCTCTGGTGCGAGACGCGCGAGAAGGTGTCGCTCGTGTCGACCGACGGCGAGGTCGTCGGTGGCCAGAGCGCATTCGGACACATTGCGGGCGGCTACGAAGCCGGCTACTATGGCTACCTGTACTCTCAGGTCTTCGCCGCCGACATGTTCGAGACTGTGTTCCGCGCCGACCCCATGTCGCCCGCCAGCGGCATGAAGTACCGCGACTCGATTCTTAAGCCTGGCGGCAGCCGGGAGGAGATGGATTCGCTCAAGGAGTTCCTCGGCCGCGAGCCCAACAATGAGGCGTTCCTCAAGCAGCTCCTCAGCGGCGCCGAGCCCGAGGCGAAGCTTTAAGATATGAAAGAGAGGGCCCAGTAGACAGATGAGATGAAGATGCACCACTAATACATGTACCACGCTCATGCTGAATCGTCTCTTGCTGACCGTGACCTTCTGGCTCAGCTTTCACAGAGATCTATTGGGAAGCCGACCGAGCATGGCGCAGCAGCAGCGTCTCCGGTACGACAACGATGGATCCAGACAGAGTCGTCCAGGAGCGCCTGAGAGATCGGACATCCTGATAAGTCATCTGAGGTGCATGCTGCTCTTCAGGGTCATGCGGGCTTGCCGAAGGAGTTTAGGGGCTGGGGTCCAACAAGTAAAGCGGTGGTATTACCGTCCCAGTCGGTCTCAAGCCGCGGCAGGTCCATCCTGGGGCCGGATTCTCGGACAGTGCTCGTGGCTTGAGACTTCTCTTCGTCCACTCCGCGGGATTGCGCATCCTGGGATAAAGAAGATGCTCAGGCTGCTTTGGTCGGCGGCGCATCACGCCAAAACGATACCACAGGGAGGATGTTCAAAGGCATCGAATACAGCAAACGGGGGCCGGGTCCCCTACTCTCTGGAGCGCGCGTGGACTTGCTTGCTGCGTTTACGATACTGACCGATACTGACGGACAGCTATGGCCGCGAAGCAGCGCCGACAGACCGCTCGGCACTCAACGGGTGGCTATTACGAACAGCGCGTTCAGGCACCGCTTCCAGCACGTCACGGCGGCCGCGTTTAGACCGATCGCTGTAGTCCTGAACCAGCGACGACGGCTCCGAGGTGCAAGAACGCCGAGTTCATCACATTGTGTCTGCAGTCGCCGCGACAGACCGCGAAAGTCGACGTGTGGGGGACAATTCCGCAACGACAGCGCCGAGACCGAGGTGACTTTTTGGTGAGTTATGTCTGAGATCCCAAGCTTATTAGATGCGCCAATGTCCAATGGTCACGATCTACCTATGCATTCATAGATCTGAGTGACTTTTCCGTATGGATAACCCCCAAAAACCGTCCTAACCCCCTAACCCCCTGAGGGGTTAACCCCCTAACTCCACATCAGCCCCTAACCCCCGCCCCTAACCTCTGCTCCTAACCCCTCCCCTGCCCCTAACCCCTAGCTATCGGATCCCATCACCTCTAGGTGCCCAACCAATTAAGGGTTAGGAGAACTGTTACGCCTCGTACCTAGCTTAGGGGTTACAAGGGTGACCCGGGGTCGGTGTCACACGCGCCCTCAATCCATGATGCGGGATGGACCAA